CTGATAACATATTTGACATCAAAATTCAAGTTTTTTAGTAATGTCATCCAAATAAACTGAACATAGCTTAAAAGAAAAGAACAAGTAGATTCAATCAATCAATTAGAAGCATTGCAATCAACAAACATAAATTGCAAAAAGGGATTCTATGAACCTGCTGTATGAAGTTGATAAGTTACCTCAAAAGTAATATTTGTCACTTTTTTTTATTAAAAACAACCGCCAAAATGCAAAAAGTTTTATGGTTCTTAAAACCATGCTCCTATATTAATTAAGTTACTTACTAACACAAACCACTCTTATAAATAAAATGGTATAAACAGAAACAAAGAACGTGCTTATATAAACATAGAACGTAGGTGACGGCACTTCTGTTTAATTCACCTGACACCTATTTTCAAAAGACTTAACATATAGTATCGACACCAAACATGTAGTATCGACACCAAACCCGTGTTGGGTGTTTGGGTGGATCTCTTTGCAATTTTTTTAATGGTAAAATGGCAAATTTGGTCCTCCAGCTTCTATACAATGAGCATTTTGATGATCCTATAACTTCAAATTATTCATTTAGTTCCTAAAAGCTACCTTTTCTCCTAACAATTCAGCCCCTCAACTTTAAAAATGATATTCAATTAATTTCAAAAGTTTCTATTATTATGTATTCAAGTCTTTTTTAACAAAAAAAATGAAAATTATTTAAAATTTATTGAAAATCACATCTTATCCATTTAAATTGCAATAAAATCAAGGCTAAAATAAGATCTTTAAAGCATATAAAATGCATTTTATCAAAAAGGAAAGCAATCCCAACTGCAATATCAATTCTTAAAACCTAAAATCTGAATTAGAGAAGAAAAAAAAAAAACACATATGGTAATAATATCCAAAGAAAGAAGAAACAAATCCGATAAATAAATCCAAAAAAATACTAGACATATTAAGGTCCATTCTTTGTGCATATTTGAACTAGCAAACAAACAAAATTGAATGAGAAGCAATTATCACCCATTGAAAAGCAATATTCCTTGCAGTTTTGCGATGAACATCAGATGTGAAAATATATGGAGTATTGCTAATTCGGTGCCCAAATCTCAAAGAACTAAAGAAACCCAAAACACCAAAAGCCAACTCAAACATAGAATTGATTTTTCCTTTGGATGATTGATGGTGAAACTGACTAAATTTTGGAAAAACCAATCAAACATAGAAATGGAAATCGTTGAGCATAAACATAGCAAGAGGAAGAAAACATCTTAAGGCAAAAGACATGGACGAGTAAAAGGACTAAACAGTTAGATTCTAAGAGAAAAAAAGGAAAAACAAAGAATAAAGGGCAACAAAAGCAAAATAAATTTTGTAAGAGAGGAAGAGTTAGTGGACAAAACACAGGGAGAGTAAAAAGCTAGATTCTAAGAAAGAGAGAGAAAAAGAATGAATGAAGAGCAGAATAGGACAAATACATAAGTGTAGCAATTGTGAGAGGGTACTGCTTGTCCCATTAACTACGTTAGGTTGTGCTACATTGTCTACTGTATTTATCCAAAGTACATCATAACTTAATTTTTGCCCACTTAATTTGATATTTTCTAAAGTAATCTCAATTTTTCTAAAACATCAACTAATCTCCAGTTTCCAAGTTTCAAATGAAAAAATTCAAAATTTTGAGCTTTAATGGGATGTAAAAATTAATGCAAAAAATGTTTCAAAGAAAATTGAGAATAAAATGAATTATTCTCATTTTTTACTTAACTGCAAATATTCAAAATGCAAGTTTTATTGTAGGGACGTTATTGTGATGCATGGAGTATTTTAGGACCTAATTGACGGATACGAAAGACTTATGGATAAAATTAAAGGAGATTTCCAAGTTTAAACGGCGTCGTTTTGATGTTTCCCATTCCAACCCCCTCCGTTTCTTTGCATCTCCCATTTCCTGCTGCCGTGCACCATGTGGAAGGAGGAACCCGACAACTCTGTGCAAGTCAGCGGCAGAAGC